TAAGTCGTTCGAATCTCTTTCTTTCTTTTTCTGGTTTTCTTTCTTTCTTTCTCTTCCCGAGAGGCCAGGAGAGAACACGACGATTGACGTGCCGTAGAATTAAACGGGCACACGTCATACGTCAGATTTCCTCCGGAGCGAGTTCCCGTTCACGAAGACGTAAGATGCAATTGATAACGCTGTACGACGATACTTACCATCTTCGTCGTTTGTCTATGGTAATTACGAAACCGCGTAGAGTTTCGATGCGTTCGTGGGTAATTGAAGTCTGGGTAACCTATAGGAAACCATCGTTCTTAGGCACTGCAGACATACGCAGAGTCTAATTGTCGCGGGTTTTCTCATTGCAAATGGAAACTCGTTTCCGTGAAATTTTCCAGAAAGGAAGAAGAATCCCCCATTACGAGCGTCTTCCATTGTGTTGTTCGGGCATTGTACGGATTAAACGGTCATGGGAAGTCATCAATCTGGTAACGAGCTGTGTCACAATGCAAGGCAACGAGTCGGCCGTGTAACGATTCGATTGTGCGTACCAACTCGCGCTGCGTCAAACTTGCTCTTTGCCCGATGGAGTTGTCGCAACTTCACGTTGTCGTGCACTTTCACGTGCGGATATTGACTAAAAATCTAGCCACCGGTGATTTATCCGGTGGCCGGCTACGTACGTACGTCGATACTTTCGACTACGGGACGATCGGATCCCCGAATCGCTCGGATCGAGGAAATTAAACACGTCGCTTTCGCCGTGGCGAATTTGCACGGTCACGGCAGAGACCGCGAACACTCGCGTGGTCCATCCCTAGAAAAGCGGGTTTCTTCCATGCCGATCAGGTTGAATCGCCTTTACGTAACACTCGCTCGTGCCTACGTGTGTTACATGTATCCTTTTACCTACCACAGTTCGTCTGTAATCGCTTTACGTGACCATATATACGTGCTCGTGTTCGCAGCGATGGCTCACGGGGAACGTTCGATGGCCCCCGAGTATCTCTGAGCGTTTCTGCGCCATTGTACGAAGCTTTGCACTCCAGCGACGCCATTACGAATATAATATATTAATATTATTAATATTAATTATTAACATATGTATAATATAATATATAATATACAATACTCGCCCCTATTCGTGTCTGTAAAAAAAAATGGACAAGAGAAAGAGATCGTTACGTAACTAAATTTACGGACGTTTATATACATTCTGCTTCTATCCAAAACGAAATTTGCGAAAGTGTGTGTTGCAAAGGCTGGCAAGTAAAGATTGTTGACGCTCGCAAACTTGGTAATTTTTTTTTTTATATATTTTATGTCTTCCGAATATAGCATTCCGCTAAATTTTAACTGTTGCTTTTTATGTATAGACGCATATTTTTTACGTAATATGTATAACATTTTATGTATATAAACGTAATATATATAATATTTTGTGTGTAGATAAGATTTTGACAATAACTGGTACACAAGTAATTATAATTTCGAAGACTTTCGACATTCTGCAGTCAGCTTTCAAGCGAAGAGCGCGAAATTCATGTACAAGTGCAATACGTACGTGGCTAGATCTAAAACGTAACGTTGCCTTACGTTTTGAAATTTACTACGCATAGCTAAAACTCTTAACACTTTCTAGTAATCAGGGATTATGTTTTCCCGTCTGCACGAAGATAATTACTTCGTGCATTCTGTTTTCGCTCTATTATGCTAACACCGTAGAAATTGTACAACAACGCGCAATTACAAAACGCGTGTTATATATCCGAGTAAAATGTTTACGGTTAGATTGAAAGCGACGATTGAATTCGTTCGTCTGAAAATAAATAAATGAAAAATTATATTTAGAAGAAAATCAACGAATTCCTATTATCCACCGAATTCAAATTTTCAATTTATTTTCGTTTATTTTCTTAAGATTAAATTGAACCTCTAATTTTTATGTAACACACCAAAATCGTGTTTTCCAAAAACTGAGACTGATGGAACGATTCTACTTTCGAAATTGTCCTTTCAACGGATCGAAACTTTTTGAGATGTTGACAAGAAATAAACGAACTTAAACTACATCGAAACTTGGCTGGACGTTGATCAAGAAATCTATTGCGTTTCATAGCCATCGCTACGAGTATGCATATCAATACGCAAGACGAATAAATATCTACATCGTCTTTACTTTCTCCGGTTGCCCACGAAACTTCCTATACGCTATACTCAACAACCATAGACACTACTTTATCCATGATACTGGTTCAAGCGAATTACATCAATCCCGTGATTTATCTTTGCAAAATGTTACGATATTTCCTGTTCGGAGAAAGTTTTCTATTTTTTTTCGTGCCTCAGAAAGCTCGACAAGAGAAGGAAACAGCGTTACCCATTGAAAGTATATGAAAAAAAAAAAAAATTAACATAAATGTACGCACATTCACGAGAAAAGCGTAACGATGCATAACAGTTCTTGTTACGTATTTCTGGTAACTGTGATTACTTTTCTAGTTACTGTCATCATCATCTCTCACATCTTCAAAAAAAAGTAGAAAAATTAGAGTTTCATTTAAAAAAAAAATAAAAAGAAAAAGTTGAAAACCGTAGAGATCTATTTCGAAAATAAAATGTGAAAAATGAAATTCTTCTCTACAATTTGGTATAGAGCTGAATCGGGCAATAAACAAAGATAAAAAAGATAAGATTGCTTGAAATAAAGATAAAAACTAACGATTCAGACTCGCTAATTTATCATTTTTATTCCAAAAGTAACGTTGTCGTGGATCCATTTGTAAATAATCTCCACAAAAGGTGAAACAACAGACTATTTGGAAAGTTATTTGAAGAAACAAAATAATAAATGAAATAAAATAATATTTGATGGCGTGTGATAATTTAAAGAAAAATCATTTACTTGATCAAATAAATCAATGTAGAATTATTTCAACTGAACATCGAGTCCAATAATAAAGATACGTAATTCAACTAATCGTGTTTGAAATATTTTATTCAAACAACATGCCCGTGCCTGATACAGAGTTACAACCTGTCCCAGTTACTAGAAATTATGCAGCGAATCGAATTAGCGTTACTAATTAGCATGACGTTTCATCTTGAAAGGATCTCGAGAAAAAAAAGAGAAACATGATTTTCTTAGCTTAATTGTCGGATCTGTCCATCAATCGCACGCGTCAGAATAGCATAATTACACGATGCTGATTCGCGTTTCGCAATATATACGCTTTTGAACGCGCCCCCCCCCCCCCACACACACACACTGAGGACAACGCTCAACGGGAAGGATTATTCTAATACAAATGTTATTTACAGAGTTCTTACGAGTCAATGACAAAGTGATGACACAGTTCTATTTTTGGTTTTTTTTTTTTATCGCGCGAGACAACCAACACGCTGCAATTATCTACAGTCGATGAGTTCTTAGTCGAACAAACTTACTTGACAATTTTTTTGACCAACCCAATGTTTCATGGTTGCACAAAATTACGAAATACTATCAAACGTCTAAAAATTTAATACCGACCGAGAAGAACGCATTCATCTTCATTCACTAAATCGCAATATGTTAACCCAATATGTTTCAACTTCTAATCATCTTTGTTATCGATTACAAGACTATCTCCACGAAGGGGCAAACACTCGCAAAACTTAAGATAAAGCTTCGTCATCTCGAGATCTCGAAGTTTCATCGTTGTGCATATGCACGCGACGAATATTTACGGGTTGCGAGAAGATTTGTGAACCGTGACAGAAATCACTCGCAGTAAACTCGTGACAACAAACGGATCGTAAACTATTGCAGCGGACGTCTTCTGTGTAAAGGATGACTGGAATAACGATTGAAAATGAGATTGCCAGTAAGGAAAAGGCAAGGCAAAGTCTGACCTCAGGCCCCTCATTAAATTCCGCGGCGTGCATCGCTGCGACAATTTCATTACGCCATTACGCAAGCCCTTTTACGATCCGTTTATGTAATTATTAGACACGAACGGGTACGAAGGAGTGAATCATCAGACGAGAACGGAAATATGTTGCAAGTAAAAGTTATTGTTGCAGAAGAGCATAGGATCACGTTTCCTTTATCCGTTCGATCGGAGAAAGAAAGAAAAAAATCCTGAAAGATCTCTGCACGGTAATTGATCGAGCTCCTTGTTGTTCAGCGGTGGGTTTGCCGACACGTAACCGTGCAAAATAATAAAAATAGAAAGCTGGATCAGAATTGAAAGTAAAAGTACATACCTCGAGTTTGTGGCTGTTGCGTAACGCAAGGACTTGTGAAACTTCCGGGCGAAATGGTACACAGTCCAAGACCTTAAACTTTGCGGTCGCTGTTTACGTTTCACCTTCTCGGAGAAAGAATTCCCCCGGAACAGACGCGATCCGAGGAAAGCGTTTCGATTAAAATTACCTTCTGACTTATCGAGACGTTTCTTTGATCTTTACCATGATTTTTTTTCCCTTTTTTTTTTTCTTTTTTAACGTATAATACATGTATGTATATATCTCATTGGCACGAGTACCATAATTGATACAGTTTGAAATCGATGCTTTGGAAAGAATTCTTTAGAGATTAATTATACCAATAATTATGATAATTGTTAGAGTATTTCTGATAATCGTAGAAACGTTTCTCTGATCATTTTTCTTTTTTATCCTATAACGAAATTTCACTAATACGACTGTCATAATTGATGAAGTATTTTACAAACAATTATTTACGGCTAACTAATTTTAAAAAGGACTACTTTTAACATTAATTATTTATAACAATAATTATGCACGCATATTTCTGACAGTCGGCGAAACGTTTCTCTGATCATTTTTCTTTTTTATCCTATAACGAAATTTCACTAATACGACTGTCATAGTTGATGAAGTATTTTACAAACAATTATTTACGACCAACTAATTTTAAAAGGACTATTTTTAACATTAATTATTTATAACAATAGTTATACACGCATATTTCTGACAGTCGGCGAAACGTTTCTCTGGTCATTTTTCTTTTCTAATCTATAACGAAATTTCATTAATACGACTATCACGATTGATTGAAGTTTGAAACTTTGCAAAGAATTCTTTACGATTAGCCAATTATAGAGAGACTTTCTTTTAGCATTATCGTGACAATAATTATGTATGCACATCTCTAATGAAATCCTAAATTCCAACACAAGAAATACGTAATAAAACGTTGCTAATTATTCTTAAGAATATTTGTCCTTGAGATTTATTATCTGTGGACCGATTACATTAATAGCAATTATTATTAGAGAGCGATGGGCATAAAAGGATATCAAAAAATCCCAATTTCCGCTCTTAATTAGCGTTTGAAAAAGGGGACAAGAACATTTGCTTTTTTGCACGATTCATAAACACGATAATTGACGGATGTGAAATCTTTTACGCGTGTATATCGATTGATGATCGACAAAACACGAATCATTTTTTTTCCCCTTCTTTCGCGATCATCTACCATCTTATCTTTGGCAAAGTTACTAAAGTTGCTATTATAATTTGTCCCAGATTGACAATTGAATTTCCATTTTACGGTATCTCTCCGAATGTTATCCTCTATTGTTGACAAATCAGAAAGATAAATTCGGAGAACGATTCACCGATTGATTGTAAATGCAATGTGATATTTGCAACAAACTTTAACTTTTCATCTGGTTCTCTGTTGAAATCTTCGCCACTGAGAAACCTGTTAACTGAATAGATTAGAATGTCTACTAATTATGCATATTATATACATATGAATCAATGTTGAAAGAGCTGGATTAATATCACAATCGATGCAACGGACCGTAATTATTAGGGCACGGAGTCAAGTGAATTAATGCAATCAATCTTCTTGAAGGATATCAATAAAATCTTGTGAAATTTCACTCTTTTGATCTTCTTTGATTCCTTGACACGATTTGCGCGAACTTTGTTTTGATCGATGTCTATTTGTTGCGCGGGGAATTTATGTTCATGTCCGGATGGACTGAAGTCCATCGAGAAGAAATTCTTTAGCATCTTCCATCGTGGCCAGGTCGGCAATTAGCCTACAAAAGATAATGTCACTTAGAGAATGGCAGGTCAAATTTGCAATTGCAGCGTGAGCTTGTACGTAATTTTTGTGCCTAGTGTGTAATATCATTTGTTACAATCAAAAAAAGTGGAATTTAAATAGTGGTCCGTTTCACTTTCGAAATGTAATGTTTCAAGAGGTACCTTGCAATCGGATATCGATCTATAGAATGGAAAAATTTTGAACTTTTATAAAACTACAGTGAAGAACGGAACTATATCAATGATAATGAAAAACTGTCGACAATTCAAGTTTATATAACTTCGTAAAAAAAGGATCACTTTCACTTGGTCTTACTTAAAAAAAAAAAAAAAAAAAGAAAAAAAATTAACTCACGATCAGAAGTAGAAGCTTTCAAAATGAAACGAAATAGATCATTATATGATCCTCTTTTACGAAGTTGTATTAACAGTTTAAATTTTGTATTATCATTGTATTACGGTCTTCACTGCGTATTACAGCAATTAATTTATTATTAAACAAACTTGTGTCGCTAAGCCAATTTTATTTTCAATCATCGAAGTTACCCAATGATCGAGGATTGTGTCGTACATTTATTTCACAACGGGCTGTTATAAAATAAAAATTGTACCAGGTTTACTGTTCTAATTTTTAGAAATATCTCGTGCAACCAATAATCACTTGATCTACCAATTTGATATCTAACTGAAAATAATCACTGAAAAAAGAAAATGTGGAAGTTTTTTCTCTCCTTTCGCGTGCGTTAAAACTATGATTTAGCAGAATCGCACTAATTGAGATTCGATTATGTCGTCTAGCTTGTCTCAGAAGCCGGTTACGATGTTACGAAACATTTAAATACGATCTATCCACCAGATTGATTTTTCCGTCGCCAATCTTCATCTGTTGCGCAAATATAATTGAGACCTTAATGGAGAGAGATATTTGATACAAATATTAATTACAAGTAACCCAAGTAATTGTGATATAAGTAAATTTGAACACACTGGGCGTAACACGTAGGAAGTAGAGCAGGAAATCATCCCTCCTCTTCGTGAAAAAGTAAGTCGAAAATGTACGGTAAAATTTGTTCACTTGAAGCTTCGATTTCGTTGAAATAAAAAAATAGGCAAATTTCTAGTTTAGCGGTTTTTTCCAATTCTGGTTTTTTTTTAACGGATAAAAAGAAACGCTAGATCTCACGTTTCTCAATGTGAAAGAACATATGGAGCCATCTGAAACGAAACAAAAAGGAAGAGGGAGTGTAGCGAAATGGCTAAACTAGAAATTGACCAAAAAACGACACTTTGACAGTAAAAATGAAAATTTTAACGTTGCCAAAGAATAAAAATATAAGGCTCGGCGTTTAACGTGTTCGTACGTGATCATAGAAGTTGTGTCTCACGAAATTTCAAGAAATGTTTTCTATGATACACGTAATATAGTGTCCTTCCCCCTTCTCCTGCATAGTCGGTTCAAGGATTAAACTACTACCGATTACGAAAAATACAACTTTCTTTTAAGAATGGAACGTGAATGGTCTTTAGTGTCCGGTTACGATCTCTGGACATTATCATGCAAAACAAAAAAAAAAAAAAAGCAGTCCTACCATCTATTACAGATATCTCTCTCGTACGCCAGGTAATTTATGAATAATGAAATTTCAACATTCAGAAGAGAAATTTTTTGCACACGATGGAATTTTGTTGCCGTTTACGAGACTTAAATTGCATCGTCAAAAAAAAAAAAAAATATTTACATACGAATTTAGACGAAAAAATTGTGTAGTCGCACTACCGATTGACATAATTTCCATTATGTTTCGGTACAAAAGAACGCGTTAGAATAATAGATGCATTACATTGAAGCGCAAAATGAACCCGTAAAAAAAGAGGTTGGACGTTAAAGAAGTTAATTACGCATGTAAATTCGATTCCTCTTATAGATATATACTTCGCGAAATTGCAAGAAAATTTACAAATGAAAAGGAAACAGAGTTAGTATCAACGTGAGAAAGAAGAATTTCATAATTGACATTACATTGTTGAGAAGTGGAGAAGACCCTCTTAAAAAAAAGAATGATACAATATTTCACAACCATCGTTTCCGAAAAGTCAAGATCTTCAATGGCGATTAAAATTAAATCACTTTGCCGTTTAACACCAGAACTAACACCTATCAAGGACTAAACCATAGAATTTTAATCAGAGATATTAAACTGAAAAAAAAAAAAAATAGAAATACAATAGAGTGCACAAACTTTTATTCGTGTATTTTATAAAAAATCAATTAAACCACCAAAAATACACTATTTTGCATCTGTAATGTGTCTGAAAAAGAAAATTATGAATTAGTCATTTTGAGCACTCGGTAGTTCCAGTGTTAAGTCGAACGTTTCCGTTGAGACAGACAGAGAATTTCTAGCGTATCGAGTTACGTGTATTAATTTTCGAATTTTCCCGAACGGCGCGTCGTTGTCGATCGAACCTCGGATGTTCCGTGATCGTTTGGCACGGTTCGTAAACCCGTCAAGGACGGAGTAAAAGGGAAACGAAATCGGAGAAACGCCGCGACGCTGTTGTATAGTGAATCGCCGCGTTTAATCGGCGCCACCGGCGATTCTCGACTTTCACGGTCCGACGACGTATACCGTCAGATATACGAAGCTTGGTGCGTGGGTGGTGATGGTAACGAGCGGAAGAGCACGATGTTCCGCGATTGTTCGTAGGTTAAACGGTGAAATGTGCTTTCACATTACGGAACTGGAGTCAGCCTCGACCGTGAACATCGATTTGAACGCGCGTTGCCAGTCGTGAAACAACAAAGTCTCCTTCTCTCTTTTCATTTTTTTCCATTCGGTCAAAGAATTCCACGGAGCGCAAATGGACATTGCGTGAATCGTTAATTAACTCTCTGTTGAAATTATCCGACGATCATTGATGCATGCAACTTTAGACGTATGTAAAAAAGAAGGTGTAGGAATTTGCCTGCTTCTACGAAAGAAGTAGAATACAAAGAAAAAGATACGTACATACGCGAAGAGACACGTTGGCGCAGTGTCAACCAAAGCTGATTTCAACTTAAAAATCCCGTGCTTGTATAGACAAACGAATAACAAAATTCCGCGCAATATATTTCTCAGTCGTTTCCTTAATTTTGTACTGACGTTTATATATATATATATATTTACAATGATACTCAGCTGATTTTTTTATTCTTTTTTTATTCTAATTACGTTTCGTCGTAGCGTTTAGTATCTAGAATTAAATCTCTAACGCGAGATTTATTTTGATGTTCGGCTTACACATTTCGCAATATTTAAATTGCCTGAAAGATGCGAGATTGATTGTTTAATGGTCGTGTATCCACGTGAAACGCGTCGCTGCCCGTTTACTAACGCGCGAGGTCAAAGTTCTCTTAACAAACACTTTTTTTTTCTCAGGTGTATCGCAGTACGTCCCACAGTCACGTCAGATCGTTGATAATTTGCATGCGCTAAATTGCTTCTTCCGTGCGCAAGAGAGTTACGAGTTTTGAAATGAACGTGTCACGAATCCACCTTACGTGCATGTTACGCTCGATGGTCAAAAGTTCTCCTTTTTTCAATTTGCCTCTTTGTCAATTCAATGAACAATCGCTAAAAACAAATCGGCACTAAAACACGACCAACGGTCCATTAAACGTGCTAATTCATTCATTCGTATCTCGTTGACTCCGCGCGATTTGACAGAAATTTCCATTTGTTAACGAGATCGCGATCGTACGCGAGAAATAACGTTAATCAAGCGTTAATCCGCATGATGAACGTGTGAACGTGTTCCTGTCAGACGTACTTTATTAGCGACGCCATTTCCTTCGTCGTATTTCAATATTTCGAAACCACGACAACGCAATTCAGAATTTTGGACGTGAAAAGCCACGTTAATCCTTCGAATAAATACGTGTGGTCAGAAAAGATAGATTATGATAATTCGTGGACGCCGAAAGAGTTGAATTGTTCGAGGGCAAGGCGACCGTCCCTTTCCAAGTGATATAAGGCAAGAACGAAAGGAACGATTGCGCAATGTAGACCGATTCTTCCGTAAAAATTCTCCCGAGAACCCGTTTCTCACGCATAAGGATGGCCAGTGAAACTTATAAATGGCGAAATAAAGTGGCGACTTAAAATGGCGAAACGAAGCGGAGGATGAAGTAATTAAATGAAATATATTACTGCCTCGTGTGTGATTCAACTGAATGGATAGTGCAGGCGGCGAGAGAGAATTAACGAGCAACTCTGTTTCTTTTTAAGAGAAACAACAATCGTTACGTCACGTATGAAATTGTATCGGTCTTGTTCGAGAGTGGAACATCCAAGTACGCGCTCGATCCCCTTTTCCAGTCACGTAATCCGTCTATCTCGTTACGCGTCACTCGGCCCCACGTGTTCTCGAGCACGATTGTGTTCGTTCAAGCTTCCAAGACGAATTTGTACGACAAATTTTGGGAGGAAAATAAGTTTCGCTGAATGTTTCGAAGTGAGGTAAATAGAATGGAATTTTATCGATCGATGAATGGAATTTATTATTATTCGAGATATGTACAGTGAGTCACGTTAATATTCAGACGGTTAAATAATCCAAGTGCTGAGAGTGTTATAATTTTATTTGAAAACAATCGTATAACAGTAAACTGAAAGTTTGAATAATTTTAAAGAAGAACATTTACTTTGATATTCGCGAATTCATTTGTTTCAATTTTGTGAGTTTATATCGTGATTTTAGCGGATGAGCAAAAGCGTTTGAATATTAATATCAAGCACTGCATAATTTATATTTGAATCGTTACGGCATCCCTTTGAATTTCATGAGATAGAAAACCGATAGTCTTATCGTGGTAAGCCAATTTTTTTTTTTTAATGGCAAGCAAAGTGGCAAATTGTGATCGTGCGATAAATGAATAAGAGTATGCAATTCGTTAGAAAAAAATTACTTACGTGTAGATACACGGGTTACAATTTGATACAATTTATAATTCATAGTTCAATAATTGCGTTGCGTACGATTTAAGATATGAATTTTATTACATTGTTAAATGATTAAGAGTACTTTTGTAAGTCGGCCTTGACTGACCTATTCTTCGATCTTACTATCGAATTGTAGAACTATCTTCTTCAAATTTCAAGTATTTTGATTTGCATCATTTGTACAACGATTTCGCCGAAAATTACTTATCGCCATTGAAATATGCAAATATACAATACGTAGGTTTGATTGTTGCATTCTGACATAAATAAAGAAAGAAAAAAAATTAAAGCATGACATAAAACGGGTGCACATGATTGGAACGGAACAATTTCGAATTTGGTCGAATCGAAATCGTATGTTACAACCTTGAATTAATGCGTTGTATCAATTAATATTTATGTCGACATGTTCGTTAACGCTATGTTAGAGAAAATAAAAAAATAAAAAAAAACAGGCAGAACGCAAAAGAGCTTGCATTTATTTCTCACATATTATACAAAAAAAAAAAGGGAAAAAATATATCAAATAAAGAAAAACAAAAAAACGAAGGGAACAGTTTACTAAAACTAAAAATTCAGCATGATTAAACTGACTGTATCTTGTATGTACAACTTTCAACCCTCTTAATGCAATTTCTGTCGATATTCAACACCTTTCTTTCAACCCCGTGTCGAAGGCACAAATTAAATTTAAAAATAGTAGAAACTTCAAGTAGATACTAGGTACAGGATACGTATATACTTAATGTACAATACTATCTAATCTTAAAATAAAACTAATAATTATTTCTCCGGTACAAGCACACAGGCAATCACTTGGATAAGTAAATGCAGCATAGAGCTAGTGGTATCATCTACACTTTTATTAATTATTGCGGCTCACTAGTAGTTATGCTAATAGTCTCGCTAAGAGGAACCATACTACGAGGTGGTGCACCGTGTTTAGGAGGTGCACGATATCTAGGAGGCGCACTATATTTAGGCGGTGCACTATATTTAGGGGGTGCACCGTATTTAGGGCGTGTACCATATGCAGGAGGTGAACCCGTTTCAGTGAAGGTCTTCGACGATGCATTTAAAACGGTCGAAATAGCATTCACTAACGAAGCAACCACTTTAAATATCGCGTTAAGGATCTCATTGATCGAGGAGCCGAGTTGATCGGAGTTTGAGTGCACTGGTGGTTTAGGCTGAAAAGTTCAGAAGCTCAGTCACAGAAGGCTAGCGAACTAGACTGTGAACGTTTACAGAAAGTATTTATAAAGAAATTTGTCTATTTTCTCAAACCCCTTGACGACCAATACGACGAAACGAAAACTGCGCTACGTAGCCTGAGACAAAATTGAAAAAAAAGGTCAAAGTTTCTTTCGGAAAGTGTTTTCACTCCTAGAACTTCTCTTTAATCCTTGAGTGGATTAAATGAACAGTTAGTTAAATTAATAATTGCATTATATATGCTATTTGAAAATTCTAGCGATGCAGGGGAAACTTCATTTCATTTTGCTATTTGATAGAAATAGAACTTGAGGATAAAAGGATCTGCTATCATTTGCTTAAAGTTTCGAAGCTTTTTCAATTTCATCCCCTTCAAATAAGATACTGCGCGATAGATTTTTTTTCTAAGAAGAGTTTATGTCAGTACTGGATACTGAATCCAGTGAAAAATATTGGGTATGTACGAGAAGATTGTCGTCAAAGGGTTAAATACGGTATCAAAAAGGAACAAAGAAAACATCGTAAAAAATATGTAACGAGCGAGACGAAATCTCGTCAAATGTCTTTGCGAAGACGAACACAAATTTTCATATGAACGTCCACAGTCTACCAGTAAATCTCAGAGGATTTATGTTTGGATCATAGGGAACAAGCGTGACATATCGGTGAATAAGATGCCCAGCGAGAGAAAACGAGGCGACGAGAGAGAACTTACGTAACCGTTTGGACGAGGTGATCCACCATAGGAATTACCATAGCTAGTTGGAGCCCCGTAAGCGTCCTTGTGACCACCGGAACTGCTGGAACCGCTGGAACCGGCGCTGGTGCCTGCTATCGATCCAGCCACCACTGCTTTCACGAGGCTCGTCAAGTCCGATTTGCCACCAGGGCCGGAATTCTGCAAAAAGCCCAACCCACCAGAAACCATTAACGGTTATGTTCGTTCGAGATTTTCACGCAAAATATACCGCAATGTTCAAAAAAGAGAAACCTCGGAATTTTGAAGTCGAACTTTCGCAACGATACTCCACTAACGTTCGGACTATGTCGATAGTTGCGGCGTAAAGAAGCTTGAAAACGTTTCAAAGAACGATCGAGAGGCATGACACTGGTTTAATAGTGAAACGACCGGTTTGTCAGAGAAGAACAAGCGTTTATTAACAGAAGAGTCAATGCGTACTTTGCTAAAACTAGAGACAACTGCGGCGATCAGGTTCGAGAGCCGTGTCATCTTCCCAGGCCCGATCGGCTAGAATGAAAACGAACATATTTTATGAAATCAAAATCGTGGTGTGTCCGATTGCTAAGAATACGATAATCAGAATATCAGAAAGTGTATGCACCTCGAGCAAAGGAGCCAGCGAAGCGTTACTCAGATCACCAACGCTTGAGCCGCCTTCGCCTGGTGCCTGAAATTCACAAATTCGTTGGATGGTTCTCTGTTCACGGAGAGACAAAACGTTGTGAGAACGCTGTTGATATTTACGTTGCTACTTTGACGGCTCAACGGGACGAGTAACGGGCCACTGAGTGGCCCGATCACCGGCGCGATTACTTGAAGAAGCGGCGTCAGAAGCGCAGCAGAATCTCTCGGACCCTCCGGACCCTGAAACAAGCTTTGTCTTTTACCTGTCACTTACCTCCGCTCTCGGCACCGCTTCTCATCCGTCACTTCCGTCTCGCTCGGAGCGAATTCTCTACAGAAACTTGGGGTAACTCACTTCGCTGAGTTGCAACAAGGCGGGAAGCACTAACGCTGGAAAGTCGCTTGCTTCGTTCTCGTCGTCTCCCTGAAAATCGACCCTTGGTTACTTCATCTTGCAAATTCACCCGCCATCCTTCAGAACTTCGTTCTGGGTTTTACCTCCGACAGGTCTTGAAGCAACGGAACTGCTAGTTCCAGCAAGTCGGCAATGTCTGCGTCCGAGTCGGGCTGAAACAGTCAACGATTGCAGATTCGACGACGAGAGGACGCTCGGGTACAAATTGCCAACGAGATTAGCCAACAAGCGGCGAGTTGAGATTAAATTGCAAACTTATTCGATGACCTAGTACCCTGGTTCAGTATATGTAGTTTCGAGATCCTTAGTCAAAAAGTTCTTACATCGCTAAGATCTTCCAAGGCCGGCGCGGCGAGCATGAGCAACTCGATGATAGCTTGAATGGAACCACCACCCTCCTCCTCCTCCGAGGACTCACTCTCGCTGGAACTCTCGTCGTCGTTGCTTCCCTCGTTGGATTCGACGTCGTCGTCGTCGTCTTTGTCGTCTTCGTTGCCATTTTCTTCGCTTTTGCCAGCACTGTCCTCTTTGCTGCCGCTTTCCTCTTTGCTGCCGCTTTCCTCTTTGCTATCCTCTTCTTTGCTGTCGTTGTCCTCCTCTTTGCTCCCGCTGTCGTCGTCGTCGTCGTCCTGTCATCGATCGAAATTTCTTCTTCTAATAATAATAGCAATAACAAACTCGCGACCCGGAGTAGAATGGTAAAAGGAAGTCGAACGTACCTCGACTTGTTGCGCCAAAGTTTGATTACGTCTTCCTTTCTGTCTGGACACTGACTGAAATAAACGAATCGACTTCAATTAAGTTCCAATTGACGCGCGCGATCGGCTCTGGCTGACACCGATGCAACAGCTTGAGGAGACAGGCAAAGTCTTCTGTCGTTCGCGCGCGATTTACGCAACGATCTCACACTCCAAGAAACTTGGACCACAGAGGATCCTAAATTTTTCTAACGTAAAATAAATGAATAATGGTAAGAAACTACGTGCACCTCGTGCATATGTGGACCGCACGAAATGCGAGCACGACACGATACGCTCGTTCTTGTCATCCCTTTTCCTTTTCATTTCTTTTCGTATTTTAGATTGGGCAAGCACGTGTTACGTGACACGAACTTTCGATTTCGTTCGCTTTCCTACGAAACCGCGATATTATCAACGACGTGATCTCGTCGATGTTCGCGGCGACAAGCAAGCCATCGCCGGCAATTAACGCGTCGAATAAAATATTCACGTTCACTTTTCAAACCTCTTACAATGAGCCAACTCGCGCTTTTTCTTGTTTTTTTTTCTTTTTTTTTTTTTTTCCCCGTCAAACAGCGTTAATCTACGTACACCTTTCACCCATGTGTATAATTTGAATATTTGAAAGTCGTGCGGTTTCCCGATACTCTTGTTTTTTATTATTTTATATTACGGTTGAGGAAATCTCAAAGTGCAGTTTGACGCTTCGAGGTGGTCTCCGCGAACGAAGGTTCGTTTGCAGCATGGACGAGCCGAGCAGAACGAGGCAAGCGTTATAACGTTGTGAAGAAATCAAGCGTTCAACATGTCGACATAGTTTTTAGTTTTCTATTATTTTTAACTGCGATAGACGTTGCATTGGAAAAGATGAGAGAAAAGACGAAACAATTTAAATCAGTCGTAAATCTACACAACTGTATATTAGGTCGCGATATAAATTTTTTTATTTAATTTTCAAGAGATTCGTGTAAAAAGAAAATTGAAAAAGGAGACGGAGCAATTTGAACCAGTCGTGAAACTGGAATAATACATTTATTTGATCACGATAAAAATTTTTTTGTTTAATTTTCAAAAGACTCGTGCAAAAAGGAGACGGAGCAATCTACACACTACTGTACAATTACTGGCTCACGATACAAAATATTTATTTTCAAATTTCCATTTGGTGTGAACACCGCTTCATAATGGTGTCAATATCGACTGAGTACTTTTTGAAAAATGTTTGTGCCCCCGATTAGTTTGTGTTCGGGCCAGTTGACGAATAATTAAAAATAACGACGTATTCAGTCTCAGTTCAGCTCGTGCGCGAGTACAGTGCGAATAAATCTTAAGAAATGCAAGTAGAGTAACTTTATAAAATTCAGACGCGTCTCACTCACGCCGCTGTCTAAATTCAAAAAGCAAACAAACGCCGAACGGCGCCATAACGGCGATAAACGACGCGAATAACGAAAGCCAACAGAAACGTATTCGGATGTTTTCACTCGTGACACTTGCCGATTGTCCATCTATGCTTTTACCCATTGCGATCGAATTGTCTACTTACCGATGGCCTCTCGGTGGAATAGAGCTGCGTTTTCTGAGGCGGCGGTAACCTTTGGCGCACTGGCGCCCTCTGCGTCGTGGTCGTCGACGTCTGCTGGTTCAACAGAGGCGGCGAGAGATTCGTCGACGTCTGCTGGTTCAACGGTGGCGGCGAGAGATTCGTCGACGGGGTGTTGTTCCTTCTGATCGCGATGAACGTCCTCAGCAGCTGGCTGATCGCCGACGGCCTGCGTTTCGTCTCGGACTTCTGCTTCTTCGACTTCTCCTTCTTCGAGCTGTTCTTCTTCTTCTCCTGCTTCTTTCGCTCCTCCTTCTTCGTGTCCGTGTTCTCGGTCACCTGAGCGCCGTCGTCGAACACGACGTTGATCTGCCCGGACTCGTTGGTCACGGTGAAGTTCGTGGTGTCGAAGTACGGCGGGAATTGATCGAGCGGGTCTCTGGTCGGTATCGTAAAGTATTTGCTCGCCTCGCTCCTCAACGTGGTCGTCTGCACGGGTTCCTCGCGGGTGAACGTGATCACCGCCTCGAACGGGACCTTCAGCAGCGGTTTCACCGAGCTGATGTTCCTCTGCTGCGAGAGGAAATCGACACCTCTAAACGGTGCCGGTAGCTCGTCGTTGAACACCGTTAAAGGTGGATTCTGCGTGGTGAACACGATCTCGTCCGCGCCGAAATTGTTGGAAACGTTCCTCTCGATCCCGTCGAAGAAGTACCTGGTGACGAAAGGATCGTTCGGGAACTTGATGCTGTCGCTGGTGGTCGGCACGGGCAGGTAAGCTCTCGTCGGAGGCGAAACCACGTTCGTGTTCCGAAAGACGGTGGTTGGCTTCACGTCGATGTTGATAGCCGGCCCAAACTCGGGGAACGGAGGGACGAACAGCTGCTGTTCCGACGTTTTCAACAAATTTGGCGAGCCGATCGGGCTTTTGACGAACACGGGCTCCTTGATACCCACCCTCGGGATGTTTATGTTCGCCGTGATCTCCAGAGGACTCGGGACAGTGGTGTCCGTGATCCCGAAGCCGCTGAACGTTGGCTGCAGTTGCAGGTTGTTGAACAGACTCTTGGTGGCCATTCCGTTGACGGTGGGATACTGCGCGGTGGCGTACACCTTGTCCTTGAACGACTGAAGATTCCCATTTCTCTGCTGGTTCCTCTGAAGTTCAGCCGAGTTCTTCGGCTGCCCGCCGTTCTCTACAATTCGGACCGCTGCTGGGATCGTTTTCTCCAAGTTCGCCGCGTGCGCGAAATTTCGAACGTTCTCGGCGTACCTCGCGCTCTCGAAGCTCTTCGCAAACTGTCGAACACCGTTGACAGGTCTCATCCCACTGAAACTCGATGGTCTCGCGTTATCGGGATGTCGAGATATCGCGTTGCTGCCCGTAGGAGCTCGAGCATTACCGACAGGCGCTTTCAACGGCGCCTCTTTCACGGTGGTCAACGTGATGTTTATCTTAGACGCCATCAGACCCATCACGTACCTGGCCCACGCGACCAGATCGTCCTTCGTCGCGATTTTCAGCGGCAGCTGGATCTCCAGGATCTTCGGCACGCTGGAGAACCCGTCCTCCGGCGAACGCAATGGTTTCGACGGCGGGGCGGGCATCGAGATCACCAGGTTCGTCGCGATAAGCGCGAGCATCGTGTAAGACCTTGGGATTCTCGTCGGCAGCAGGAACGACATCATCGTCGGTCTTTCTCTCCAGACGATTCCTGAGAACGAGAACGACGCGTCAGGTACGTTCAGTCTTGATCGTTCAACGTCCACGCGGATCCGTGGAACAAAAATCGACACCTTGACGTCATTTCCAGTTTCCCGTTCGCAGAATCAAACAGTCGTCAAACAGAGCGTACAACAGAGAGAATGTTCAGGTATTGCACATGGCCGACGGTGGCCGGGGATCGATTCGAGCAACGATTCGAAACACAAATCGCGGAATCGCGACGTGAAAACTGACTGGCAAACCGATGGAAAAGCGATCGTTTTATAAGCGGATGGGTAATTGATCGTCCCTTTCCTTCCTGATCGTGGAAACGTGTATTTTTTCGGTGCGCCGATCGGGATATTGGCATTCCTAATGACAGTGCGCGCTTCCGCCGTTGCGTTCGCAATTACGGGGGTGCGGCGCACGCGAAGCGCCGCCGACGACAGGACGTTGCCTTTCGCAACGCGACAGAACCGCATGGACGACCGAAAAACCCGACGTGAAAATCGCTTCGTAACTCGGGTACGCCGATTTACTATTATAATAGCAACAGAAATTTTTCATCTTTTTGACGAAATCTTCCCTCGAGGCCTGTACTTTGCCTATGGTTCGTCATTTCTTGCTTCTTTTAATTCGCGGGAAACGATTGCGAAGAGAAGCACGCACGGGAAATTATTACCGAAGCGATTGGTACTTCGTTTTAAAATGTGGAAATGCTCGAACGAGATGGTTTAACATTTTTTTCGTTTGGAAACGACCGCCGAAAATCGTTGAATATTACCAACGATCCGTTCTAAATCTAGAAATGCCACAAGTGGCAAAAGTAGTTGGAGGAGATGATCTAGCATTTGTTTGTTTCAATTGCAAGAAGAAGCGGAATATATTTAACGTTGAATGCTATTTAATATATATTTAACGTTGAATGATATTTTAGATATAGAAATACTACGAAAGGTAGTAAAAGTTGGAGGAAATATTTGTTTCTCTTTTTTTTTTTTTTAGATATAAAAATACATAGGTAGAAAGATAACAAAAATAGTTGGAGGAGATGATCCAACATTTGTTTGTTTCAATTGCAAAAAGGAGCGGGAAATCATTGAATTATTATCAGAAATTACTTTTAGATATACAGGGTGTTTCGTAACTTGTGAGACCCACTTCGAAAGCTGATTGTACGCCTAAAAATAATGAAAAAAAGTCATAAATATATGTCCTATCTGTTTTCGTTTATGAGATATAATGAATTTTATAAACAGTAAACTCTCTATTCGGCCTCTCTTTCCATAGACCGCAATAGTTCGTAAGCAAAAATTCGCACTGATTACAAATAATACCTAATTGATATCTTGAATGTGAAGAGAGTTTTGTATCTACCATACTTTTCACTGATGAAGCTAGTTTTATCAGGGATGGTATATTCAATTTTCATAATAATCATAATTGGGATGAAGAAAATCCACACGTTATTGTGCATTCAAGACATCAACACCAGTTTAGTTTAAACGTATGGGCAGGAATAATTGATAAATTTTTAATTTTACTACTTTCTTCTTGATGGCAAAACTAACAGGCACAAAGTACGTTGATTTTTTAAGCACGCGTTTACACGAAATATCAGAGGAAGTTCCAGTCGATATTAGACTTCGTATGCGGTTTATGCATGATGGAACTCCGCCGCATTTTAGCCGAGTGGCTAGGCAATNTTTTAAATCAACACTTTGCAAATAAATGGATCAGTCGTGGAGGTCCTATTGCATGGCCTGCTCGTTCTCCGGATTTGAAATAGATTTTCATTTGTGGGGACATTTAAAATCTATTGTATACGCAACATCGATTGAAAATGCTGAAATACTACGAAATAGAATAGAGCAAGGCTTCCGACAAATTCGAGAAACACCAGGAATGATAGAGAGAGTAACCAGATGAATGACAAGACGCGTGCAGGCTTGTCTTCAAATGCAAAGTGGTCATTTTGAGCATACTTTTGTAAGAGTAATTAAAACAGAAAATTTATTATATCTCATATATTTATATGTTTCCCACAAGTTATGAAACACCCTGTATAAATGCTACGAAAGATGCTCATTTATTCCCTTTAATTTGAAAGTAATTGTGGAAGGAAGCGAAAAGTCGAAAGAAATTTCAAAGAACACAGAAATACTACGAAAGCTAGTAAAAGTAGTTAAAGGAATGACGCACTTTACCGATGATGCAAAAATAGTTGAAGAACGATCCAACATTTGTTTGTTTTAATTTTTAATAGCAAAAAGAAACGGAAAGTCGTTGAACAGCACCAGCGATTGCATCGTTTTTAAATGCCACGAGAGACGCGCGCAAAAGTAGTCGGCGGAGATGCATTCGCCGTTCACTTTTTACAATTGGTAATTTCTTCTTGGCCGTGATCGTGATCTTGATGCGTCAGAAGGCAGCAACAATAAGCTTGGCACAACACTAGGCGAACAAACTCCCACTACGTTCATTAACAGTTTCCCGTAAGGAAACAAAGCAAGGACAAGTTTAACACGATCCCACGCAGATGAAAGTTACCACGCTAGTTTGCGTGTTTGTCAAGCTAATTGCACGCCGTCTGAGATTTTGCCCGAGTCGCTAGTTGACCTATACTTTAATATTCCCTTTGTAACATATTTACGATATTCTGCTTTGTTCTCAGTGTAACATCTGTGTACGTAATTCCATTCGTACATTAACAATTTTAAATTCTTAAATGCATAAATGCGTCTAGTAATTACTTTTTGACACGAAAAAAAAAAAAAGAACCAATTAACCTACTCCTACCTCATGTATCTCAAGAAAATGGCATAGATAATCATTATATCTCAAGGTAAGTACTAAAAAAAAAAAAAAGAATAGTTCTAACATATTTACCTACTTTTTTATGGATAGAATCTCATGTAATCAATAAACTGTCTTGTGAAACAGATAAATAAAAAATCTAAAGTAGGTGATAATGATAAAACGTGATCGCTAATTTGTAAAATCATTGAAACGATTTGAACAAAAAACGAGGACAAGTAAGAGAAATATAGATTTGAACCAGGGTTCATCATCCTCCATCGACAGATATCATAACAATGTCAGGTGTACAGCAAGGCTCGAGGCACCGTTAGATCGTTTCACTGACCAGCCTCGTGAGGATTTATCGTGACACAACGATCGTACACCAGATCCCAGCCGAGCACCTTTTATGGTACAAATCTTTCCAAGGTCGGTATCGCGCGTTGCTCGATTGAATTTCAATTCGATCATCGACCTTTATCCGTGCCACGCGTTAGAGAAAGACAGAAAACGCCAGGTCTGCGTTTACGCAACCCGAAAGCCTTTACATCATCCTCCAATTATACGCGTCGTTTCTTCTGCTTCCGTCGACAATCTTCAAACTCGAATTTTTAACCTCAGCTGGATTTCAACTCGGCTGTAAGTTTATCGACGGTCGTTTTGCAAAATGATCAGGTCGCGCTATTTACAACGACGTTTCATTACGCGTTTTTACTTTGCACAAGTGTAAAAATTCCGTGCAAAAGTTATTAGTAAAAGAAAAGAAGAAAAAAATGGTTGTTGTTGTCTTCTGTCATAAAAACGTGCAGAAAGAAGTGTGTAGCTTAAAGTCGAACGATTTGCAAACGTCACGTTGCACAAGATTTCTAACAAATCTCGCTCGCTCGAAGATTTAAATTTAGATACGGAACGGATTTATGCAACAAACATTTCTTTTCACGCAGGTTGCAATTAGGTGCAGGTTACAACTACAACTTTTTGTCCAATGCGCGAACGCGCAACACGCTTGACTGATTATTTTTTTATGTACAAAAACTTAACAGCGCTCGAGCGCTTATTAATTTTGCAATTTTCCACGTTCTAATCGATCTGGCACGGAGTAAACGCGATCAAAAGGAATTTATGGAGGATAGAACGAAGATAGATCGAAGGTAGCTCCCTGTCTCTTTCGTGGATCGTCGAAAAATTTTCGTGTCACAAATTTCGCTTATTCTTCCGCGTTGTTCGGACTGACCGGCAAGAAATCGTCTTTCACTTTTCCTCCGGAATCTTGCGGATTGACCGCAATTAATCTGTGTCTCCTTTAAAAAAAAAAAGAAAAAAAAAGAAAAGAATGCGACGCCGTTGCAAAAATTTCGCGGAAATATGAAATTCGAATTGAATTCAACTTCGCTCGGTCCAGCGAACCGAGGAAAAGAGAAACGAAAATTCAACCGGCAAGCCAATGATTTAACAAACGGATCGTTCGCCAACAATCGTTCTTTACTTTGTTTCCTGGATACTAATTGCGCGCGAGCAAACGACATAACGACAACGACAATTGGGCTGCAGCTTTCACGACCGGGCGAAATCATCCTGTTAACGTTTAATAAATATATTTTTAAACGTGGACACGCACCAGCGGCCACGCCAAGGGGCCAGAAAGAAAACACTGCCAACGAGCGACACTACTTTCTAATGCTCGGACCGTCGTGTCTCTCCGTTAGACTCCGTCAGGGCGCTCGTTCGCGAACATCGTGCCCCGTCCGAGTTTTTCTTTCGACGTTGTTGACGCGATCGATCCACGCGAGTTTCGATCAGCGACGAACCGGAAAGAAAGCGAGTTTCATTTTGTAACTGTACGTCCGTTGATCGATCGATGGTACAATGAAAGGAGCAAAGGTGAGAATGCGAAAAATTCAGCGCGATCGAATTTCTTCTCGATCGGTTTGCGTCGTCGAGAAGTTTATGTTTTTGGAAATATCGGCGATGTGATTCCAAAGGATCGCTCGACATCTTCCCGTGCCATTTTTATTTCACAATTTTACAGAATTGTCATTAAAATTTGCAATTTTTCTCAACCAATTTTTGCATCATCAGGATTTGTTTTTGGAAATATCCATTTGTATTTCATAACGTTACGAAATTGTCATTAAAACTGTAGAGAGGTTATGCTAAAATTACAAAACACAGACGAAAAGATATTAAGAAATTCTTTCACATTTGCACGGACTTTGATAGGCCTTCGTTCATTTTTGGACAATTAATTAATCACGTAATCATTGATAACTTGATGTAACAATAGATGATAGATGCAATTGATTTTTTTTACACCGAAGATAGAAAAGAAAACTGTCTTTGTAAAAGAGCAATTTTAAAATGATGTTGTCCCTTTCTTACAGAACATCGTGGATCATTTTGAAAATGATTTCATCCTCGAGTCTCTCGGATCACATTTTTATCTTGTCCAAAAAAAATCGACAGAAACGAAACTGTCGTATTTTGCTTTACGTAATGGAGAAATTAAAAAATGAGAAACGCGAGAAACAGACGAGTTACCGATCAAGTATTTATCTGCGTAATTAAAGCGAGCGAAACTCAAAGGTGACAGGAGGAAACAGTTTGTTGCTGCTTTATGCAATATTGTACTAATCGATCAAACTGCAATGGCAAATATTCTGGAACTCGCCTCGCCTAAAATCGAATAAAAAGCCAGGATCCGAGAAAAAACTGGTTGCTA